CTCCAAAAATAACAATTACCTGCTCAATGTTTCGAAACTAAATTTTGAGATTCAGGACTGAACAGTATAAAAGAAGATGCAATCTAAACCAAAGTTGAGAATTTCTCAAGAATTCTACGGAATCTGTAACCCAGCAAAGATTTCAACAACAACGTATTGTTCGTAATCGAGAAGCAAGCCAAAATTCTAGTAAGTCCACCGCTAGTGGGAGTACATCGAAACAGCCAACTCGAGTTGGAACAACTAGAACATCCGCTCCATCAACATCAGGAAGAAAATAAATTGGGGAAGGTAGTCAAAACAGACAAACGTCAACCACGTCAACAATTTGGGGGAGTTGTTCCAACTAGAACATCAGCTCCATCGACATCAGGAAGAAAACAAATTGGGGAAGGTAGTCAAATCAGACAAACCTCTCCACGGCAACAATTTGGGGGAGTTGTTCCAACTAGAACATCTGCTCCATCAACATCAGGAAGACCACAAGTTGGGGGAGTTGTTCCAACTCTAATGAAGATGACGTAGCTAACCGAGCAATAAATCTCGCAGAACTTAACGAGAGAGTTAAGGGGTACTTTGGGGACTATGATCCGTCAGCAAAATCAAGTCAGTGTAATCGTTGGAATGGAAAAATCAAGGGAAACATTAGTCACCTAAAGGACCACCTGACATCGAAGCACAAAATCATCTCACGAACATTAGGATTAGAGCCAAGAAATCGAAGCAAACGTCCAAGAGAAGTAGACGAAGAAGAACCACTACCTAAGAAACTTAAAACAGTCAGCATTAACAAAACAATCAGAGAACTGATCGAATTCTTCTTAAGCTCAAACATATCTTTGAACTGCGAGAATATATTCTTCAAGCAGCAGGAGAAAACACAGAGAATGACATAGAGGACATTAAAAGAACCACTAAAAGGAATCTACAAAGAGATTGCAAATGAGACTAAAGGCAATGTTCGACTCTGCATCAAGACATGGAAGACACGTCTTTGCAGTGAGTCTGCGCTACGCAAAGGGAGACAAAGTAGTTGAGCGTACCATAGGAGTCATCACTCAACATCAACGACAAACAGGAGCGAACCTCTTTAACCAAGTAGAGCTACTACTCAGGAAAGTTGGTTTGACGATCAACGACATATACTCAACATGCACCGACCAAGGAGCTAATATGCTCAGAGCAGCTGATTTGGCAATACAGGCGCAAGATGCTATCAGAATATGCCGAGCAATAGCAATTGTATGGGATGATTAGCGACGTCAATGAATTCAGAAATCAGCTCCAGGAAGTTGCGTTTACACACGAAATACTTGCTCTCAATGAAGACGCCTGGGAATTCATCGATGAATTCATCCAAGTGTTCACTCCAGTGCACTTTGCGATAAAGGAGTTCCAGAGAGCAGACATCACAATGAGTGAATTTTACATCAGCTGGGTGAAGATGGAGCTCAAAATCTCTGATGTTCCACTTGGTGACCAAAAAATTAAAGACAGACTACTCGAGGCAATGCAACGACGTAAGAGAAGGTTCTTTGAATGTGACGCCTTCATCGCAGCACTTCTTTTAGATCCTCGCATCAACTGGTCAAATAATCAAGAAGATTTCTTTGGCCCAGAACTATTGGAAAGAGGAATGGTGCATATCGAAAAAATTCACCAGGTACTTATCAACAGAGGACAAGTTGAGCAACTAGAGGATCAAAATCGAGATCAACAAAACGTCATTTATGAGGCATTAGATCAACGACTAGGAGGTGGTCGACGAGGACAAGATCAATCATGGCAAAACATAAACCAGCGATTGACCATTCGCCAACAGATCACCAGGTTTCTAGCAGAGATAAGAATATCATCAGGCGCTAAGTTAAACCCGCAAAAGTACTGGTACAACAAACGTGATAAAGAACCAGAAATCTACAAGGTGTCTCAGGTTGTCTACGGGGCTGCTTTTTCACAGGTCAAGGTTGAGAGAGACTTCAGTGGTTTCGCTCTTGTCCTTAACCACTTGAGGACGTTATTAGCAGACAACACGCTCAACGCAATCATGGTTTGCAAGTACAACTTAGACTTGTTACAAAAAATAAAATTTTTCTAAAACTACAAAAGGAAATAGAAGCTTTAAAACCAAGACAACTTAGACGTAGACTGTCAAAGCATAAACAAAAAATCAACAAAATGGAAATAGAGAATGAAAAAATTAGACTTAGACACACTTAGAAAAAAAGACGAAATAGAAGTTTAAAGAAGAAAAAAAAAAAAACAGAAAAAAACAAAAAAAAAAAACAAAAAAAAAACAAAAAAAAACAAAAAAAAAACAAAAAATTAACTTTAACATCATCAACTTAAACGTACTTAAAAACAAAACAAAAGGAAGTTTAAAAAACAAATAAAAATAAAAAAAATTTCGACTTATCAAAAAAAACTTACACTTAAAAAGAAGAATAGTTTAAACATAGTAATAAAAAGAAAAATTTAGAATCTGCAGCAATTATTTTATCGTTTGTTATGATTTTCGTTTTTTACCATTTTTCAAATAATTTTTTACAAGTTTTAATCATATTTAACTCCTTTTATTATTTTAAATCAACATTTTCAACATTTTTCATTGTTAATAGAAATTTTTTTAAAATTTTCATTTTTTGGACGCTCAGCGTCTTACCAGTCGCCGTTTTTGCCGGCGACCGGCAATGTCGGTAGCCGTTTTTGCCGGTTGCCGGCAAAAAAAAAACTACCGGCTGCAGTCAAAAAGCGTCTACCGACAATGCCGTCTGCAGGTTTTGCCTGTGGACGCTTTTTAGCACGCTCCCAACTCTGAAGAAAAACCAATACAAGCAAAAAAGATTTTTTTTTATTTTCATTTTCGAATTTTCTTTTTCATTAGTAAAGAACTCATTTCACACACAATTAAGAATTGAAAATGATGCGAATGTGTAATTGGATCTAAATTTGTTTTGATTGTGTCACGGATTTTCATCAAGGGATGGACACTTTTTATGTATATGGGAATTTTATGAATATTGGAATGATAAGTTACATCATTTTTAATTTAATAATACTTTTTCAAATGATATTTCCTTAAGACTATGGTAAGTTAAGATCTAAGGACAGATAGGATAGTTTTTGGTATTAGGATCTATCTAAGTCAGTGGTTGTCAATCTATGTGCCACGAAAATATTGATTGCTCATGTTTTATGACTTCAATAAAGTTATGAAAATCATTTCGTGTGTCACGAAAATTTTTATGTAGAAAAATGTGCCGTGGAACAAAAAAGTTTGAGAAGCTCTGATCTAAATTATCAAAATTTGATTTCATCACTTTTAGTACTCAAGTCTGATTTCTTGGATCAAACAGCTTGACCGTGTCAATAACGCACATCTTTGTCTTTTTGAAGCCAGTTTCTGGATCACTCTCGAGGGATTCTTTGATTCTAGGGCCTTAAAAACTTGCTCAACCGACTCTGTTGTGCTGTCAAAGGTTACAATTTTTGGGTTTCGAATCTTTTGAAAGTAAAATAGTTAACTTGAAAGATGACCACTTAGGGCCAAGCAGAGCTTGAAGTCAATGACATTTTGTATGTAGTCGAGTCGGATTGAAGTTGACTCCACCATACAAAATCGATGAGAATCTCGAGTGGATTTCGAGTTTTGGGTTCAAAAGGGTAAAGCAAGGGCTTTACATGGGTTCAAGTCTTAATTTGGAAACCAAATTTTCATGAACATAAAGTTCTCATCGCTTGGGCATCAATTTTTTATTTGTATTATTTTCTACTTGATTTGCATGTATTGAATGAAGAAGAAATTTGAGAAAATCTACAGTAGCTTCTCTTAAAATGAGACTTTATTGTGTTTTTGGAAAACTTAGTCTGAGTAGAGCTTTTATAATTGATATCAAATTTTATTTAAATTTTAAATTTTTAATTTAAATTGATTTGAATTATTTAAAGACAATTAACTGTAACTCAGCATTAGTAATAGTTTTAATGGTATTTAATGAATAATAATCAATAAATAACAAAACAAATTAGAATCCCAAAAATAATAATTGAGTCACAAACTCAATGTTGTCAAAATACTCCTTTTAAATAGCAATGACATAAGATTTTTCCTTTTAAAAATATTCAATAATAAAATTTGATTCATTAGACATGATGCAACGAATCAGTAGGTGTAGAGCTCAGTTATTCTGGCAACAATGTTGCTGTATTTTCATCTCAAATTACTTCATTCAATGCGTTAATGACTATTTCTATTTAAATAATCTTTCAGACCACTGCTCGATTTAACCAGATCTAAATAAGCATGTGGATAGCCTTAAAAATTGCAAATCAAAAAAAAGTGTTCAAAAAATTATTTTTTTCTTTCTTTATTTCGAGTTTTCATGTCAATAAATAATCTCAAATGACTAAAGCTTATAATAATAGTAGAAGAGATGATGATAATGATGAGGATCAGATGAGTAACATTTTTTTTTGTGCTGATAATGAAGTGATTCTTGCAAGGAAAGATGAGCAGGAGTGAAAGAAAATCCGAAAAAAATTTCCGTGTTTGTGTTTATGTAAAATTAGTTTAGCGAATAATTTCTCAATTTCAAGCTTGATTAATTGGTAAAATGTGTGTCTAGCCTAAGCAGGACATCTTTGAATGTTGCTGGTTAGGTACCGTCTTAGGAATATACTAAGAGCTTACTCAGAGGTCTGATAAATTTCAATCTTAAATAGCTGTGAAATTTATGAACCTAATAAAATCGACTCTAGTGTCTCCTTAGTATATTGCTAATATACAACTCTAGTAGCAACATTCATAAGTGTCCCGCTCGGGTGCTAAGTATAAATAAGTATATTTTCAATTTTGGTTTGTGCATGTTTAATTGTGTGTAAAGGTTTTTTTTTCAACAACAAAATAAAAAAGTTTGTTTTCTATTGAATAATACAATTTTTCTGTAATGTGAAAAAGTGGAAAAAGAAGAAGAAAAAAAAAGTGTCAAAAAAAATCACATCTAAAGCATCACATCGGGATTAAACTTTTTGCGAACCTGCGATTGTTCTGGTTTCTTAAATTGTGATTGCGTCGGTGTTTGTTGTTGTTGTGGTGATGGTTGTGAGACTGTTTTGGGTGATGCAATCCTTTGAAAATAGGATTCTGTCGTATGTTGACTTTGTTCTGATTTTACAAAATTTTTATACATGCTTTGAAATGATTGTTGGGATTCTGATACGAATTCTTCGAATTTTCCTTTTGGCTTAACTGCTGATGGCTTGATTATTTGCTTTGGTTGAGGAACTGATTGCTGTTGTGATTGATAAATTGGTTGAGGAGATGGCTGTGGTCCAGATTGCTTAATTGTTTCTGTTTTCTTAGTAAATGTTTGTTCCTGATGTGATGATGATTGATAGTTTTGATAAATTGGTTGTGGACCAGGTTGAATTAGAGGCATATTAGCCAATGGCTGAGGAGCTGATTGCTTAACTGGTTCTGATTTGTACAAAAATGATTGTTGCTTGGTTTGCTGTTGATTACTTTGATAAGCTGGCTGTTGTTTAACTGGCTCGTGTTTCTGAACTGTGATTGGAACATCTCTAATGATTGGCTCCGTTGCCTTTGTAAATGTTGGACTCGCAAACTTTGGTGGTGGCACAAATGTTGGTTCTGATGACTTTCCACGTTCTAAGAACTTTGGTGGGGCTACACGTCGATATCCAGAAATTGTTTCTTCCTTCTTGATTTCACTGTGAGTTTCATGACTCTCAAATTTCTCAGGAATAAATGGTTCCGGTAGTTTTGGTGGTAAAATCGGCTGTGTCATAAATATTGGTGTTGGTTCTGGCTGAAGAACTGGTTGAATTGGTTCTGGAGCTTTGAAAACTGGTTCTGGAGCTTTAATTACTGGCTCTGGAAGGAAAACTGGCTCAGGAGCCTTAAAAACTGGTTCTGGAGCCTTAAAAACAGGCTCAGGTGGATGATAAACATTTTCTGAAGCATGGAAAACAGGCTGTGGTACTGGTTTTGGTGTTGGCTGCTGTACATTCTGTTTTGGTGCTTGGAATCTCTGTGGAGATTGAGAAGACATCCTGTTTGGTGTCTGTCTTTGTGGAAAGATCCTTACACCACCACGTGGAACACGATCTGGTTCCTTTTCAATATTTTGTTCCAAAGACTTTTCAATTTTCTCAACATATGATTGCTTCCTTTCCAAAACTGGCTTTGGTGCATAGCAAATTTCTGGTGGTGCGCCTGGTTCGATTCCTAATTCATAATTATCAGGGATGAGTGGAACCATCGGCTTAGCAAATTGCTTTACTAAACTTGGAGCTTTTAGTTCTGGTAAAGAAATTGACTTTACTTCCTCTTCCTTAATTCTTTGTTCAAAGTAGCTCTTTGTATCCTTAATTGATGTTTTTGGAAGTTCTTCTACTGGTGCTTGCTCTTGTGGAGCTTGATATGGCTGAATTGGTACAAAATGTTCCTTTGGAGGCTCAACAGATTCTTGGTTGACAGTTTTTTGTGATGAATAAGCCACAAATGATGACTTGTGTTCATGTGTAAAGCTTTGTTGTCTATAATCTTCTTGTGATTGCATTTGTGTCTGTTGCTGTGGAGCAGCAAATGGTTCTGGAGTTTTTGGTTTCATTGCCCATAACTTCTCCATATTTACACCTTCAGTTGATGGCTTTGGTGATGCACTTCTTCCAATTCTTGTGTCTGGGATCAGTTGATTAACATGTGGAGCAAATGTTGGTGTTGAAACTTTTGGCACAAAAGGTGTTGTCGACTTTGTTGATGAGAATTCCTTTTTCTCGAATTTTTCTTCTTTCGTGTACATTGGAGGATGTATAGTTCCACTCAATGGTGTTTCACTAGATTGATTTATTTGCTCAAGTTTCTTAACTCTTTCAACAATCTTTTCTGGATGTCCAATCGGTTGAGTTTTAGGCATGAAAGATAATTCTGCTGGTGGTTCTGGCTTAAGATTCAAATAGCTCAAATCATCCGTAAGTTTTGATTTAAATTCTTCCTTAATTTCATGTTGTTTACTGACATATGTGTGACTTCCTTTAACAGCATCCTCATATCTTGTGTACTTTTCCTCGCTCAATTCTGGTAGATTCTTCAAATTGCTCTCAAAATATTCCAAAGCACTCTTCCTGATTGGTTCAGGAGTTTGCATGATTTTAGGACCTTCCACGAATGGAAATGTAACTTCCTGTCTAATTGGAATATCAAATTCTCTTGGCTTTTCTTTTGGTGCATCCGTTTGTGTCTGTTCAGAATGCTTACTAACCCTCAATTCACTATCGATCATTGTTCCTTCACTTACCAAAGGAATTGTTGGCGTTTGTGTTCTTTGTGAGAACGTAATTGGAGGTAAATCATTGAAATGAGGCGTATGCTCAAGACGCATTGTAGCTGACGTTGTTCTTGTCGTTTCCATAATGACTTTTGATTCTGTGGAGCTTCCTAATTGTGCTTTAGACGAAACCTCTTGATGTGATGAATAATTTTCTTTAGGAATTCCATTCTCTTTTGGAACCGATTGATCCATGAATGGACCAGTCTTTATAAAAAAGTTTAATTTTGATTGTTTAAAAAATAAAATTCAATGTTTTTTTTGGATAGAAAAGGAAGAGAAAAATATTTTTGTAAAGTATAAAGGAAGTAAAAGCCAAAAGCCTTACCTTGAGATGATTTGATGGAAGGTCACTAAAGACAGTTGTCTTTGTGACTTCAACCATTCGATCGGGTTGTGACTCAAGAACCATAAAGTCTGCGATGCTTTGTGCTTCTCCACCAGAATTAACAGCCTTGACCATGTATTTGCCAGTGTCTTGAACTTTTACTGAAAATAAATGAGAATATTTTATGAATTTTAATGCTGTGCTCAAAAACAAGTGCCTCGAAACCTCCATCCTTACCATTCTCAACAATCAACTTATGGCAAATACCAAGTTGAGTAATTCTATATTCATTCGTCATTGCCTGTGCAATTGGACGATCATCTTTGTACCATGAAACTTGTGGTTCAGGTGTGCCGGTAATTTCGCAATCCATTATAACTCGTTCTCCCTTCTTTACAACTTGAGCTTGCAATCTTCTTCCAAAAACTGGTGGGAAAATTGATTTCTTTACAACAACATCAGCTGTGCTTGTTGCTGATCCTGCATCATTTTTAGCAATCGCTGAATAACGACCAGCATCCTTTATACTAACATTGAATAATTTAATGACAATTTTGTTCAAGCTGTATGAGATTTCAATGACTCCAGGGATTGTAGTGATTGGCTCATCATTCTTTGTAACTTCAACATTTGGTGCTGGATATCCATCAACGATACCCTCAAGTGTAACATCAACACCTTGATCGACAATCTTTCCAATCAATGGTGATACAAATCGTGGAGCTGTGCTTCTTCTGATTGGCTTTCCAGTTGAAATTTGTCCAGATTGAGCTATTATGCTTTCATGCTTCTCATTTGTCATGTCATTCCTGCTGAAATTGAGCAGCTTTTGTGCAAATGTTTGTTGTGGCTCAGCTGATGATTCTCTTACTTCCTCATATTTCTTAGATTCACTGACTTCAGCTGGTGCATCACCAATTTTCTTGTAAGATGAATCAATCTGTTCACTTGTTGAATGGAACTGCGATTGTGGTGGAACTCCATTGCCAAAAACATTCGATTGTTTTGTTGTTGTAGTAGTTGTGATGTGTTTTTGCATTGTGACAAGTGATGATCCAGAAATGTCTTCTTGTGTTGTGAACTGCTCCTCAGTTGATAATGGAATTCCAGATCCTGTTAGCATTGCCACACAAGTTGCCTTTCCTGCTTCATTCTCAGCGATACATGAAACTTTGCCAACAGTTTCAGGAGCAACTTTAGGAATCGTGAGCACTTGACGCTCGCCACTTGTGGAAATGAGAAAATCTCTTCCGTGCACAGGCATATCATTAAAATACCACTTGATCTTTGGTGTTGGTTTGCCATAAACAATACATTCGAATTTCGTTGATTCTCCGTAGTTCACTGAACGATCGGCAAATAATTCCTTGAATGTTGGACAGATGATTTTCTCGTGGTCTGTTTCCAAGCGATTGATGAGATTATCACTGCTGCTATTTGCAGTTGACTTTACAATCAAGTGTGAGAAGCATTTTGCAATGCCAGTTGAGTTTGTGGCCTTGACCGTATAAACGCCTTTATCATCTGGCAATACATTTCGAATAATTAATTTTAATGCTCCATCTTCATTTGCGACTGCTTGTATACGATCATTATATACAATTTCTTTATTATTCAAATACCATTTTATTTCTGGCAACGGTCCACTAACTAGGCAACATTCCAATTCAACAGATTCGCCTTCATTTGCAAGACCATCCGTTAATAATTTTTCGAATTTTGGTGGCATTACGCTACTGGATAAGAATCGTTCAGATTCTGTTGGACGTATAGCTGGTTCAAGAATATTCAATGGTGTCACACTTACACGACATTCACTTGATGCCTCACCAGCTGAATTTATTGCAACTATTTTGTATACGCCTGCGTCCTCTAAAAAGGCCTCGTTAATGAACAATGTGCAGGTGTCTCCTTGGAAATACAATCGAATGTCGTTAGACTCTTTGACTGGCTTCTCGTTCTGTAACCAAATTACTTCTGGTTCTGGTTGTCCAACAATTATTGCCTCCAAATGTACAGGTTTTCCCTCAAAAACTGAAATGTCTTTGAGAGGTTGTTGAATCGATGGCTTGATAAGTTTTGGCTGTATTGGTGCTTGAACTTCTTCTTTTTGTTGCTCGACTTGTACAAAGCACTCAGTTGACGCTTCACCAGCAATATTTCTTCCAATGACTTTATATATTCCAGAATCTTTGACGCTGGCTGCATGTGGTAATGTTAACCTTACAGTTTCGCCGTCGTACTGCAACTGAAAGGAAAATAAAAGAAAAATATTTTTTTTTGAAAAATACAGGGAAAAATTCTTTATTCCTTTACATTTGTATCGTATCGAACTTAAAGAAAATCTATATGAACTCACGATGATGTCTTAATGCACACACATGCGAGCCAGCATCTTTACTTTTAATTTTTCTATTTTAAGATCATCTCGTAAGTTTAAGCGCGCCCATACACATGTGTTTTATTCTTTTTCGTGTACATTTTCGAAAAGAAAATCTTGGAAAATTTCAGAAATGATGTCATACTTTTTTGTTAGTTTTTCTTCTGGTTCCTTCTTGCCTTTTGTTTACTTTACCACAAAAAAACTTTTATTTTTTAATTTCAATTAATTCGATGTAACGCCACTGTGCGAATTAAATGTGACCTCCTCACATCTGTGGATGTTTTTTTAATTGATTTTCATATTGAGGGAAAATTTATTGAAGATTTTGTGAATGGAAATTAATCATATAACCATATGGGTGGGTATATTCAAAATATCTTTTAATGGATAATCGCTTGGAGTGTTTTTGGATATTTTTTATGGCTTTTTTTGTAAGTGTAAATTTATTTTGATTTCGAAAATGAAAAAAAAAATTATTAAAGTGGAAAATTATTAAAAATTGTCGCGAAAGGCAATTTTTAGATCATGCCGTAACTATAAAATTATTTTTGCATCCGGAAATAAAAAGATTGTTGCTTTAAGTCATTAAAATTCAAGATGATATAGGATATTAATGCATTTACAAGTGCAAATAGTTATTGATAAATTTAATTCGTTTGAAGTTTTTATTTGATTAAGCAAGGAATGATCGAGAAATGATCAATTGAACATATGTGACTGGTCATAAGGATGTTTATTGACCTTATGGAAGAATTTATTGCTAATTCGAGGTTTATCTTTTAGTTTTGATTATTGAACTTTCTAGAAATAAATGGAAGCTTTATTTTCTTTTTTAGAAATATACAATGGTCAACTAAGGATGAGTTGTCATTAAAATGACAAAACTTGAACCTTGAAATTTAGAGCTTTCTTTAACTAGAAGTGTGGATAACAAAGGAGAAATTGGGAGGGGGGGGGGGGGGTGAGTTAAGGGGTTAATTTTTAAATAATCATAGCAAATTGAAGAAGTTTGCACATCAATCTACTTTATCTGTTCCTAACTATGCACCTGCTCTCAGACCAGTGTTTCTCAAACTTTTTGATTCACGGCACATATTTTTACATAAAAACTTTCACGGCACACTAAATGGTTTTAATCATCTTTTTGAAGTCTTAAAACATGAAAAAAAGTGCCAATTTTAGCAATCAATTTTTTTAAGGCACAACTGGATTTTTTTTTGCAGCACACAGTTTGAAAATCACTGTCCCAGACCGTTTGACAACTTGCTTAATACAAAAACAATAATTCATCCATCTCAGCTATTCTACTAAAGCAGTGTGGTCCAATCTTGAGCACACCTGAGAGGTAAACCATGACTAAAGTCACACACAGCATCCGGCTCACGTCATTTTCATAAAAATCCTACGACACACCAGTGTGCCGTGGCACACAGATTGGACAACACTGTGCTATAGAGTTGAAGAGGGTTAGTTGAGAGAGGCTTGCCTCTTAAACCTCATTTTGAATATGACCTACACTTGACGCTATGCTTTTAGTCCAATCCAAGCGTCACATCCCTTAATAGCTACTAAAGCATACATTAATGATGAACAGCCCACAGTTTCATAATAATTAGCAACAACTTACTTTACTGTTTGTTTTTAAAAGTCACAAGTGAAATTATTGTACAGTAAATTTTCCTTCATATCGGTCAGTCATTCACCTCAACTTTTCACATTTTCACAATATCTTTTTTTCAAGCAATGTTTTAATTTTTCGGTTGTCTGCATATGTGATAGTTCCGAAACATTTGAAGATTGCTTCAAAAAATTCTTTTTCTTAAATTTTTTTAAAATGTGGGAAACTTGATTTTAGATTTTAACTGATTCTGAAACTTAATAACAAGGTAGGAAGATCACGAGCTGATCACGATTTGATCACATCTTATTCGCCTTTACAATTGAAAAAAGTAATCAAGTTTAAAGAAAAATGTTACACTAGGGACCATTTATTAATGACGTATTGGAATAACCAAAAGTTTAAGAAACCATAATTGTAACAAAATTTTCACAATAGAGCCCCCCCCCCCCCCCCCCCTATAATTGATATGTCTTCATAAGCAATGTCCAAAAAAATCCAAACATTGATGATTTTGATATTCAAATACAGAAAGTTTTCAAGAAATATTCAAAAGTTGTGGTCAATATCAAAACACAAAAAGCAAATCTCTATTATCCAAAGAAGCTAGTCTCTCTCATTTGAAACAACTGCTTTTGTTTGTTTGTCATTTTGTATCTAATTTTAATGCTCAACATGTCACAAATCGTTCATCAATCAATCATTCAATCGATTCGAAGATACACGTGTGCATAAAATATTTTCTGTTGTCAACCAAGTTTAAGATTACAAACGCCAAGTGTCACATCCTTGTAAAATATTTTGTACTCACACTTCTAAATTGAGGTAATTTTTAAAAACATTAACATAATTAAGATCAAAGTCTCCCACTTCACTTAATAGCATCTATGACATCCAATTTATTTTTCATATTTGAATTGTGAAGTAAAATATTTTGTAGAAACCCAAAATGTGTGACACATTTCTCATTACAGAGGTTAAAATCGAATTGAAATGTTTTGACAAAAATAGTTTAAGTCTTAGTCCCACAAGAAATACAGCGAAAATGGGGACGTTCACAAATGATGGACATAAACGTGAGATTTTAGATCGAGACATAGAGACGAAGCCAGGAATTTGAAGAGGGTGGAGGGGGGGGGGGGGTAGTGGGAATTTTTTTCGATTTTTTCATAAAAACTCAAGCAAAATGAAGAAATTTCTCAAGGCGAAAGGAATTTGTCCCCCAAATCCCCCCCCCCCCCCCCCCTCCTCTCCTTAGGAATCCGCACAGACCCCCTCCCTCCAAAAAAATATTAACAGAATACAGTTATTGTTTTTTGAATCAACCTCCATTTAAACCCTTGAAGCCCTTGACCTCTATAATCCTAGTCAATCTACTTAAAATATATGACATCATTTCTGAATATCCCCTAAAAAAATTAAAAAACAACAGAATGAATAATGACGCTAATGTCACAATTTTATAATTAGCTACTAATTTGCATACATCTTCACAACCCTGACTCAAACTTAATAGTTTTAATTTCAAATTAATGCCCTAAATTCTTACACATGACAACACTAGTGCGGCGTAACTAATTGCATTTAGTAAATAAAGAGAGAATAAGCTACTCACATTGACGTCATGATCAGAGAGAATTTTTCCGTTGTGCATCACATAAACTTCAGGCTGTGGCTTGCCAGCGATGTCACATTCGAGTGTTATTTTTTGACCGGCTCGCGTCAACACATTCGACAGTGGAGACTTGATTGTTGGCTTGATATTTTTCTCAACAGCTGTTTTTTGAAGAGAAAAAATAAAATTTATAAATTTTTTGAGACAGGAAAAATAAATTTTGAATATTTTTTTACCTTCTACACTCAAGATGGCACTACATTCATTGTAGCCCATCTGGTTGATTGCTTTGACTGTAAATATTCCTTGATCCTCAACACGCACAGTTGGAATTTTTAATAAGGCAGTTCCATTGTTGTATGTGATGTTATAGTTGATGTCATTGTCAACACACACATCATTCCTGTACCATTGAACAGTTGGTAGTGGATTTCCACCAACTAAGCAGTTGAATTCAAAAGTTGATCTCTCATTGGCATAAGCATTTTGTAAAAGTCTCAAGAATGATGGCGGTGTCAACGGCTGTACTTCCTGTCGTGGTTTTACAATTAAATTTGCTGTTGTTTGACTTGTGCCAGCGACATTTGTTGCAATACATGAAAATACGGCAGCATCTGCACTTGTTATTTTCGGAATATCTAGACGACATTTTCCGTTTCCAAATGAAATTTTGTAGTTGGGATTGTCAGCAAGTGGAGTGTTAAATTTGAGCCATTGAACTGTTGGTTCTGGTTGTCCTCTGAGAATACATTCAAAGATGAAATTGTCACCTTCTGTGACTTCAGCACTTTCAAGATAACGCAAGAACTTTGGTGGCTCATTTTCAACAACTGGAATAATTTCGTGGATTGTTTCGTTCCTCAAAACTTCCTCATGGCTTTCAATGACGAGAATCTTATTGTCAATTTCATTAATCATTGCAACTGGATCTTCCTTTCTCTTCAGATCTTTAACTAAATCTACAATATCAGATTTCATTTTCTCAAATGACTGGAATATAAATATATTATCAGAATAAAGGTTTTCTGTCTTATCGTAGCCAAAAACATCGTTTGAAATTTGTGATAATTTCTTTAAATCATCAAGTTGTGCTTGCTTGTTGTCTACGACATATTTCTCTAGTTCATCAATTAAGTCGAATGCCGCAGCCGATGTTTTTAATTCCTCTTTTCTCAAATTTACAGAGTTCACCAAAAATGTGTATGTTTTGTGATAGCGCGTTTCGACCTAAAGTGAGAATTAAGGTTGAATTAAATTAGTAAGTTTGTTTTTGATTGGTTCAGTTATTAAATTCGGTTGAAAATTCATTGTACTACAAACATTTTTAAAATTTTTAAAATTCAACTCGAAAATGTAAGATTTTCAACACAAAATGCAAAAGTTCCACCATATTCACCACTAAAATGCTAAATTTGCACCATATTCACCACAAAAATGTAAAACTTCACTTTATTCACCACAAAATAAAAAATTCAGAACTTTCACATTTCTATATCATATTCACCTCAAAATGCTGAATTTTCACCATTTTACTACAAAATGCAAAAGTTTCAACATTTTCACCACAAAAAAATGCGAACTTTTTCCATATTCACCACAAAATGTCGAACTTCCATCTCATTCACCACAATGTTGTGAAATTTTCACCATTTTCACCACAAGATTGTGAAATTTTCACCATTTTCACCACAAAATATTAAAATTTCAATATATTCACCACAAAAATGCAAAATTTTCACCCTTTTTTACCACAAAAATGTTGAACCTTCACCAAAAAAGTAAAATTGTGAAAATTTTCACCATTTTCACCACAAAATATAAAACTTTAATTATGATCACCACAAAATTTGAAAATTTTACGTTATTCACCACAAAAAGCAAAACTTTCACAATATTCACCACAAAAACTGCGAACTTTCACCATATTCACCACGAGATATTAAACTTTCAATATATTCACCTTAAAAATGCAAAAGTTCAACCATATTCACCACAAAAATATAAAAAGTTCACCACTTTCACCTTTTCAGGAAAATTTTATAAAAAATTTCAATTTTAATCCACACTGTGTCAAAAGTATGCCAATTCTTCACCAAACTTCCACAACAAATTTATTCCCCAACAAATTGCCTTCACATCATCGTTGATTCCTTAATTTACTGTCTTTAAATTTATAGCCGACAATGCAATTTAAACTCAATTCATGATGAAATCAGATTAAAAGACTATGAAAAATTTTTAACGCCTGTCAAACTCTTCTTAATTTCATCATCATCGAATTTGTTTGTGTCGAAAAAAGAAAAGAAAAAAGAAAGAAATTTTACTCACATTTTCCAAGAGGCTGAAATATTGTTGCGCCAACGAGAGATTATTCTTCAATCTCGCCGATTGATTTTTAAAATCGTCCCATCTCCTTAGTAGTTTCATCAATTCATCACTAACGTATGGCTTTGCGTCAGGATATGAGATGTTACTGTATGAGTTAATAAAATTTTCGATTCGTTTATTCAATAACTGCAAATAAAAAGAAGAAGAAAGGAAAAGATGAAAAACATGAACAAATAAATGCCACATAAATTTTGTTGTAGAACTGAACATTTAATAAAAAATGGGAACAAAAAATTGCATGTGGGATAATATGATGAGACATTTAACATGATTAAAATTTACTTCGTATTTTGATTTACACGCCGAGAATTTATTTTGCAGATGGATTTATGATGTTTTAATGTCTACGCGTGGACTATTGAAATATAATGCAGTCATAGTTTGTTGGATATGAGTAAACAACTCGTATGATTTTCTGTTTACATGAAAGAATATTAAAGGAAATTTTGCGTGGTCTGTGGACATCAAAACATTGGCAGATTTGCATGCTAGACAGGTTATGTGGGCGAATGTTTTACTTTTTGCTTAAAAATTTGTGAATTTTGTTTTCTTGGAAATTTTGATGAATTTTTTGAACCCAAAGCGATCAATATTGTTTTAAGACACCTTCTGGATGTCACATCAAATATGATGTATGGCTGTGGACACTATGGGGCCGTTCACGTTTTACGTAACGCTTTTAAGGGGTCTAAGATTTTGTTACGGTCCAAACAAAAGAAATTTTTTTCATACAAATTTTGTTACGAATGGGGGGGGGTCGTTTTTTCGCGTTACGTAATAAGTGAACGGACCCTATGATAGGGACAACACTTAAGAGCATCGCTGTCCTATCATCAATATCAATCTATGAGTTCAATGGCCACTGAATTGATGTCGTTCCATCAAGAATATAGTCAGTTGAGGCTCATTCGACTGAAAAACTGAAGAAGCTTAAGAAATCTTCCATCGTGTCCATTGTTGACCCCCTCCTCATAGCTCCTTCTCTATAATTTTCAAATTTCCCCCAAAAAACCACAAAGCTTTCTGTCCAGCGACAAATCACATCACATCCAATTAAATTTATTTGTTATGAGTCTTTAATATCATTTCTTTGTGAGTCATAAAACTGTACTAAATTTATTATGCGTGGGCTAAGCGGCATCAAAAAAGAAATTTTTCCCCAGTGTAGAATTCATTCGTTTGTTAAATACAGAACTGCAGCCTTGACTTAAATGTAACATTTACATTTTGTACTAATAAAGTTTATTTAAAAATCTTAACATGTCATTCTGCATCCGAGATTCCCTAAGCTATGTCTTGCATGGTCAGATGAATACAATTAATGAACATAATAAATATTGAGGCATCAAATAAAGTTCTATGTACTGAAAGTGATAACAGATTTACAATTATTTGTGTGTTAATTATACTTGATTAATGGAGAGGTGATTAATTTAAGCTGTACGGCCCTTTTTTCTCAATGTTATTTTCGAATTTTTGGATCTAGTGTTGATTTTGAGATCAAAAAGGATATTTTCATTATCTGTTTGTCTACCACCAGATCTTGACGTCAAATTGAGCCAAAATCAAATTTAAGGTCTCAAATCTTGTTATAGGAGGTGAAGCGTCGGTACCAAATTGGATGAGTAGATCAAAGTCTAAGCAAGGGAAAACACAGTTTCTTCATATGCTTCTGTGTTGTTATAATGATCATGCACCGTAAGAAACCCCCCCCCCCCCCCCCCCCACCTTCTTAGATTTTTAACGCCTATAGACTAAAATTAAAACGGAGTATTTCCAGCAATAAACAACTTTTTTGCAACTGCTCTTCCACAAAAACATCACAAATCACCAGCAAATAACTCTGACATCACCAATCATTTGGCTTTAGATTAACATTCATCGTATGAATGGAAAAAATACTAACAAGTGCTATAAAATTTCTCAAAAATTTCCTATTTTTCAAAAAGAGTTGAAAAATATCCCAGCGACGATTCAATGGCTTGACACTTTTCAAATAAAATTTTACTCAATATTGTGACATAAAACATTTTTTAGGTGCGGCTCTAAATTTTTTTTCTGTCGATAAAAACAGCCAAAAAGAAAACAAAGTTTTTCCCAATAAATGAGATTTACAAGTGTTTTTAACTTTCGTGATGATTTTTTGCGGATATTTTTCTTCGGCTGATTTCTTTTTGTTTTATTTTCCACACAAACGACAGTGATGAGTTGAAAGGAAATTTTTCTTTCATTTTATATTGGGGGTGATTTGTGAATGATGTGTATTTATTTGATTTAAATTACTTTGAAATTGCCTGGTCACTTTTGTCTTAATATTTTCATTTAAATTTATTATAGCGTGAAAACTAGCCTTAGATACTCTTAAGAAATCATATTAAAGTAGCTATGACTGTTAACCAGAAAAAATACAAGACGTCATCAACAAACAACCCCCAAAAAATATAAATTTTTTATTTTGAGTCTTTTCGCTCTGCTTTTTTTCTCTATCGTCCTCATTAATTTTTTTCTCTACAGTCTCGTTCCCAAACTATGTTTTTAAAAGCAAAATGACGTGTGGTGTGTTGAGGAAATACTCCAAGATTTTTTGAATGAAAATAAAAAAGTTTCGTTCAAAGAATATAAATTCAAATATATCAAACACGTCCATCTACTCATATGCGTAAATCTAGTTTTTGACCCTTATTAGAGATGAACATTTTAAAGTCATTCGCACGCCACTTTTCACTTAATTCACGCTGCTTAATTTTAGAATATTGATGTAATCTTTGAGATATAAATGACGCTACTCCTAAAACACCAACACATACGCACAAGATTGCTCATAAATAAATAAAAATGGCAGGCTATAATGACTATGTCAATAAATTAAAAATCCCAAATAGATTTTTTCCTTCGAAAATTACTTTCATGCCGCACGAAAATTTCAAATTGATAGATTCAGGTTGGCGTTATGACGAAAAAATATTGATTGATTAACGCGATAAATTTTAGTCAAATTGGAATTTTCTTTAGAATTTTTAAGTCGTTTTTCGAAGACAAATTGAATGAAATTTGATTCTGTAAACAAAATTTTCAGTAAGGTTGTGAAATGTGTAAGTTGAGTCGGATCTTGAAGAGAATGATTTTTGCAAATATTCTTGAGTTCGATAGTTTCGACTAAAGAGAAGACGAAAGGGGCCTAAATCCTTTATTTACATCTTAATCACAGTATATAAAACTACTTATTATTTAAACTTAAAGATTGGTTCGAATCTCACTTTAAATAATAATTTCAGTTCTAGGTTTAAGCGTCAGATCCAGAGAACCCTCACGGCTTAAATGCCAAGCTATAGAGCTTTAGTTTTTTCATTTTATTAATTCTCTAATCTACAATTGCACAAGATAGAAATCACAGATTCTCACAAAAGATCGCCGTCTTCGAATGTCATAGCCTAGACACCAGACAATAATGAAACAGTTGGCATTCAAAAATAATTAAATACACTTTTTTCCTATTCTTTTAATTAAGTTTTTATCATATAAATAATCCTAGATTTGGCAACTAGATGCCACCTCACATATGCAGCACTATGTTCAGTCTAAACATTAAGAAAATATATTTCAATACTCACATCAACATTTCGTTCGTAATATTCGTAAGAAAGTGAAGAAACTTTACATGCAGCAGCAGAGTCACCAAATTTATCATTCATATCATTAAACTGTAACTGTAAGTCACTAATATTTTCATTTAAATCTTTCAACAGCTTCTCGAATTCCGTAATGAAGAATTGTCGCTTAAGTTCAGAATTTTCCGAAGCAGCATTTGTCTCAAAATACGTTCTGAGATTCTCTAACAATGATATTATCTTGTCAGTGTCATGTTCTTTCGCGCCCGGTGGCTCTTGCATTTTTATCCGATCAATCAACTTTTCACTTTGAGCCAATAGACTACGGAAACTCTCCATCGTATTATTTTTAAATGTCTCGTAATCGCGTATAAGATTCGCAACATTTTCACCACCAACCGGCGCCGTAAACTGATCTCTTACCGAAAAATACTCACGGATACTTTCATAAATTTCTTGATACGATCGTAAAAATGACAACACAATGTCCACAAGCTCATTATAATCAGCACTTATTGAGAATAATTTTGTTTTAATTGAATTCAAATTATTTTTCACTTGCACAATTTTTTCACACGACACTTGATCCTTGCCTTCTAATTTATCGATCTTTTCAATGCGCTGTGACAATTCAGCTTCCGATTGCTGTATTTCATTTTGAACTGACTTTAATTTATTATCAACAAAACGTATTAAATCTCTTGGCAATTCCTCGGATGTTGCGAGAATTGGATAAAGCTCATCTTCTATCTTTGCTGTTAATGATATTGTCTGTGAGGCGAGAACAATGGGGAAAAATTAAAAATAGAAAAAAAAATTAATTTCAAAATTCAAATAAAATAATTTTAAAAAATTTTAAGAAAATTCAAAAAAAAATAATTCCTACCTCAACGTTCTCAGCCATGATTTTCTCCAGAATAATACTAATTTCCTTCGTCGTATTAAAATTCTCCCATATTCCACTAATTTCCAACTGACGACTACTGAACGCGTCGAGTGTCTTCTCGATACAGTTTGCTGCACGATCGACTTGAAGATATGGCTCGGCGACCTGTTACATAAAAATAGATGAAAAAAAAAAAAATTAAAATAAAATATATATATTTTTTTTTGGTGTATTTATTATGTGCTGTACATAAGGAGAATATTCTCAATTTTAGAGGAACTTGAGAGAATAAAGAAAAATGTTTGAGAAGAGTAAAATTTATGTTAAAATCTTCTTATTTCTAATGACTTTGAGATACATTTCTTTCGGTGTCATCATCATCAGCATTAGCATGCATGAAGTTCATCAAGTAGTTTTTGTTCATGAGAAAAGCATTCAAAGTTTTATTGAGTATTAAAACAACATAAAAGCGACAGTTGTTCATCATTATTTAAAGTTTTAATGTTTCTCATGCTAGATTTATGCACTTTTGTAAAAACATCAATGTTTCATGAAAGAGATGAAGCTAGTCATTCAATGTTGCATGCTAAGCGTTCGCACTGATCAAACATTGGCAATTTTCCAAACAGAAATCATTGCGGTCGCCACATTCATAATTTGTATGCGAAAATTGTATGCAAATGAATATTTCAAGCTTCTAATTTAACTTAATAGTTTGTGAAAATGATAAACAACTGTTTGAAAAGTTTGACAGGATGACAAAATGCTGAATTTTTTACTATGAATGAATAACTGGGGCTTGATGTTTGATGATACAAGGTTCCTTTAATGTACTTTTTAATGCATTTTGTGTAAGTTTTGTGGCTGAAATAATATTAAGATTTTTCAGAGAATGCAAAAATGTTTTAAGAAGCAATTTAATTTCAATTTTAATTAAATTTGAAATTATTTTCAATTTCTAAAATTTCAGTTAAGCGAATCACGTTTGTAAGTTTGTAAGCATGGCAGACTTAAGCTAATGTTAGAGTAAAGTCTACATTCATAAAATCAGATTCATTCAAACTTTTTGATATTGTTTTAAATTAAATTTTCATTTCTTTCATAATTCTAAGCTTTTTGATTGAATAAGCAGTCGCTATTTGATTATAAGTTTGCTCTAGTTCCGAAAATTGTGGATCTGATCATAATGTTTAAAAACGACGAAATTATTTTCTAGTAAGGAAAAAGGATCATGGAAAGAGGCTGTTGATAGAGACAGTGTTGCATGTGGAATCAGCAATTGGCAGATGGTAGCCAGCGATAGAGCTAGTTTTAGGCGACGACTTAGGATGGATCACAACTGATCTGTACGACCAGCGAAGTAAGTAAGTAAGGAAGAAGGATTACAATAATGCCACTGATGTCCATGATTCAGAGTCAATGTCTTGCAACGATCTACACCAGTAGTGGTCAACCTTTCATGTGACACGGGCCTTGATAGTGAGCCATAAACAAAAGCGGCATATGTAAGGTTAGTGGGATTTCCTGAATTTTTTCATGTCTCATGGGTTTACCATCACTAATTCCAGAAAGGCTCAATACGGAAAAATGGATATCAATCTGGTGCCGCGTTAGTGCATTCCCGGATGCCAGATTTACAGTCATTTTTAAACCGTGTGCCTTTCTGGATCTACACATAAAATCTTATTAAATTTTCCACATATTGATTTCAATTAACCACTAATAGCTCCCAATTAATCAAAATATTCCACAAGACCATTTAGTCACAAAATTAATCCATCATAATTCCAACAAACCTTAATTTTCTCCGTATTAAAGAGCTTAGCAATATTTTTAAGCATCGTAAATTGAGTCTGAATTTTACTCCAAACGGTGTCAATGTAGTGAAACTCATCAACATTTCTCGTTGTCTTGAGCGTTTGCTCCAGATTATTAAAAAGATTGATGAGATGTTCAGCTTCTTGATGGAAGCGTAAATAAAGCTCAATGATTGGTATGCGACCAGATACAAAATTATTTAAATCATTCCAATTTATTGAGAGTAATTTGATCTTTTCATTAACATCGTCGCGTTGTGAGTCTTCTAAGCTCTCCGTAAATGGATGAAATTTTGATTTGATGTTTTTGAATTCTTCATTTTTGATCTAAAAATGGGAAGAGAATTAAATTTAATGGATTGATATTTTTAATAAGGGAATAATTGCCTTACCTCAAGTTGTCGAAGAAGTTGCTGATGTGAATTGAGACAATCTTTTGCCTGTGCAACGTTGTTGCCCATAAAATTCAATGGTCCATTAATTATTCGCTCACGTTTTTGCGTTTCGATCCACGAGAAGATGTCATTGTACTGTTCGAGGAAAATATTGAGCTGATCACTAATTTTAATGTGTTTTTCACTTGCTTTTGAGAATGCAGCTTCAAGATAGATCTTACGACGTTCGATTTCATCCACAACATGCTTTACACCTAATACTTCAGGTTTGGTTCGTCCAACTTCATCAATGAGGGAATATCCAAGTTCAAGAACATTATTTATAGCTGAACTGACATCTTCCATCAATTTTAAGTGCACTGAGATGAAATTAGGTGAGCCTGGACGTAAACTGACACGTTTTAAATCAACCTCAAGCTCATCAAATTTCTTCATTACATTTTCAGCACGACTAAAGAATTCCTTTGATTGCAGCAACAATGTCTCTCGAAGATCAATTTCATCAAGATATTCTGTACATCCAGCGAGCACTTGATAGGCTTTAGCACATGCTTCTTCCCCTGTGAAATTTCCTTGTCTTACAACTTCTTCTGTTGTTTTTGTAATTTTTAAAGATTTGTCACGCAAAGCCAAGGCATCGACTTTCCATGCATTATAGTCTTGAAGTAATGATTCGGCACTTTTTGTCGAATCGCCGAGTGTAAATGTTCCTAAAATCTCATCACGCTGCTTATTCAATATCTTCTCTAATTCAAAGAGATCTTTTGACAATTGTGCAAGAATGAGGCACTGCTCAAGCTGTATTTTACGATTTAGCCATGCTGTTTCCAAATTATTTCTCTTATCTGACAAATCTTCAAGCCACAACTCAACTGTTGTAACTGATCTTTTTGATTCATCAAGTATATGATCAGGTCGTGAATCTAATGATCCAATTGATGTGATATCTTTCAATTTTTCAAGCAATTGATTTCCAACTGTTAACGGATTCACAATTGAAGCTAAAACGTCGACTCTTAAATGCTTAAATTTCTCCAAAAATTCCCTCACGGAATCCACTTCAATCGGAATCATTGTATCTCTGCAGGCACATTCCAATGAACCCATTTTACCATAACATTCACCAAGACGCTCAAAAAATAAAACATTTAAGCTGATAATTGTTCGACGCTCGTGCAATATTTTGAGAATATCGCTCCACACTTGCGATAATGACTCTGCCATATCTTCAATTAGTCGTGGATTCTGTGGCTCGTTTGATGCAATTTTCTCCTGTATTTTTCGATAAAACTCCTCGAGCGGTGTTGGTAAATTCTACAAGAACAGGCAGCATATAATTATGTACGGGTTAAGGTTATACAAATTATGAACAACAATATTTACTTGTATGTTGAGGAGTAAGTCTTCATGCTGTTTTTGTAAATTCAATGCTTCGTCCAAATTCCTTCCCAAAAATGTAAACTTTGGAATTATTTCAGTCACTTTTATGTGCAATAAATCGCCACTCTGTGAATGTTTTTAATGTTAAGTAATTAATTAGTTAAATTGATTTCATAGATTGACAGGTTGATGTTGTTTTGCTAGTAGCTTTTTAAATCGCATTCATTTTTATGAAGTTCATTGGAGTGTATTTTAAATATATTTTGGATAGATGAGCTTAATAGAATCATTTAAGCTGTAATTTGAGAATATTTTAAATGAATGACGTTCTTTTAAGTCATTAATTAGAAATTTATTTGCTCCATTTATGTCAAATTTGAGTCTGACTATTTTCTCAAAAGTCAGACAGAATCTGAAATTTCAATTCCTTTTAAAAAGCATGTGCATTAAATTATTAATCAATTTATCGACCATTTTGTTCAATAAACATTTCAATTATAAACGTGAGCATTAAATCTTAAAAATTCTGATGATTCAATTGAAAGTTCAAACAATGTAGCTATAAAAAAATTATTCGATATACGAGACACATAAAAATTACTGTGTCAAGAAAGTTTTATGGGGCTCCGAGTAGCATATGAGTTGGGTTGCCAGATCAACTTTATATAAGTGCTGCACTGCAAAAGTTGAATTCAAGCGAGTCTCAAGTTGAGTTCAAGTTGAGTATCAAGTTGATGTCAAGTTTATTCTCAAGTTGAGGTCAAGTTTAGTCTCAAGTAGAGTTCATGTCGAGTATCAAGTTGAGTTCAAGTCAAGTTAATTTGTCGAGTTCGAGTCTATTTCAAGTCAAGCTGAGTTCAAGTAAAGTTGAGCTCAAGTTTAGTTCAATTTTAAAGTTCAAAGATTTTTGTGCCGATCTCAACAGTTGATGTTAAAACTGTTTAGAATGGATTTTCCTTTGCAAAGTAAAGAAGAGAAAAAACATATAATAATAATAATTTGAGTTTAAATCGAGTGTCAAGTCGAATTCAAAGTGAGTTCAAGTCAAGTTGAATACATGTCAAGTTGAGTTCAAGTCAAGTTGGGTTCAAGTCAAGTTATTTCGTTACATTGACGTAATCGCTTGAAATATAATCATTTGAGAGTAAGGTTTTAAAAAAATAATTATCAAGGTATTGAACTGATCGGGATTGACTATTTAATCTCATAATGGAAGAATGTTTTCTTCGATTTATTACAAACGTACACGATTCATTGATTTTTATCCATACACACAATACTTTCTATTGAAAGCTCCATAATTATGATGTACGGTTTATTACACGGTTCATTATCATAGTGTCAGACCCTTTTGATGTTTCCAGACATCTCTTTTACTTCTCTCTTCCTTTCCTTTTTAGTTTTGAGCATCAAACTTAATTATCACTGACAGTTTATCTTTTTCGTACTCGCAATGCTCATACGCAACAATGTTGCAATCATAAAAATCAAAAACCGTAGTAAATGAAGCATAAAAGGCAGCATCAAAGACGTTTGCTCTTTTTACAGCCCAAATACTTGTTTTTCCTTTGTA